ATATGTAGAGACACTATAGCAATTCACAATGTTTTGTGAGAAAAGTTATAGTGTTTTCCCCACATGATTAAACTTTATTATAAAGTTAAATTATAATCAATTCAATATTAAAAAAAATAAAATTGACGAAGATAAAACAAATTCAATATTAAAAAAAATAAAAACACTAATGAAACTGGGAAAAAACCATGTGACGAAAAACTGTATCAATTCATAGTATTTCATGGGAAAAAACTTGTATCTACTTGTAATTACAATTCTTAACCAGTTTAATATTTAAAAAATAAAATTGATAGAGACAATTTTAGAAAAAAATATAATAAAATAGAAAAAAACCATGTGAAAAAAAATAATGTAGTGATCCACAGTAATCTGCGAGAAAAGTTATAGTGATTTCCTCATGTAGTGTAATTGTAATTTTTAACCAGTTTAATATTAAAAAATAAAATAAAAAATAAAATTTCAAAGAAAATCATAAAAAAAACACGCGGAGAAATACAGTAGCAATCAAATATATATTGTTTTAAGGGAAAAAAACTTGTAATTGCAATTCTTAATATCTAAAGAATAAAATTGACAAAGATAATTTTAGAAAAAAAAACATAACAAAATAGAAAAAAACCATGTTGGAAAAAATAATGTAGTAATCCATAGCAATTTCCGAGGAAAGTTACAGTGCTTTCCTCATATATTATAATTATAATTTTTAACCAGCTCAATATAAAAAAATTAAATAAAAAAGATAATTTAGAAGAAAAGCATAAAAAAACCACGGGGAAAAACACTCTAGCAATTAACAATATTTTAGATAAAAAAAAATTACAAAACTAAATTCTCAGTTCAATATTAAAAAAAGTTGACAAATATAATTTTAAAAAATAAAAAAATAAAATAGAAAAACTATGTGGGAAAACACCATAGAAATCCATAATATTTTAAATAAAAAAATTACAAAGCTAAATTTTTAACAAGCTCAATATTTAAAAAGTAAAATTAACAAAAATAATTTTAGAAAATAAATAAATGGAAAAAAATGAAAACAAAGGAAAGTTAAAAAAATTAAAAAACCAAAAAAAAGAAAGAAAAATGGGAAAGTTGGAAAAATATGAAAAAATACAAAAAAGAAGAAGAAGAGAGGAATGCACTATGTATTACAAGAAAAGATTGCAAGAAATAAAAACCATATGAAGAGACACTATAACAGTCTACAATATTTTGTGAGAAAAGTTATAGTGTTTTTCTCATATGATTAAACTTTATTACAAAGTTAAATTCTAACAAACTCAATATTAAAAAAAATAAAATCGATGAAGATAATTTTGAAAAAAATATTACAAGAAATAAAAACACAAAAGAAACTGGAAAAAAAAACATGTGAGGAAAAATTGTATCAATCCATAGTGTTTTGTAGGAAAAACTTTGTATTTATTTGTAATTGCAATTCTTAACTAGTTTAATATTTAAAAAATAAAATTGACAAAGATAATTTTAGAAAAAAAACATGAAAAAATAGAAAAAAATCA